TGATTATCTTTTATTATATATTTTTAATTATACATTATATTTTTAAATAAGTTGGACAAACAATATACCTTAATCATGATCAGAAATACATACACACAGTATAGCAAAATTGACCTTAAATTTTTATCAATATATCAAATTCCATAACAATGCAAATCTTTATAGCATATCTCCCTTTAAATATGAAAGAACATTTATAAACAATATTTGTGAATATAGGTGTAGTTACTCTCTAAACTGTTTTCTACTGTTTATTGGGCAAAGCAATTTTTTGAGGAGTGTTCAAGGCAACCTTTCAGGGGTTCTTGATTCATCAAACCATATTAGTCTGGAAGCAATCCACAGGTTCTCATCCTCTGTGAAAACAAAGGCAGAACATATTTTCCAAAGCAGCATATCCTTAGACTCAAATTTTGAATTCAAGATATCTTTGAAATATATATGTTGGCTTAGCTTAGGAGTCCACAGAATCAAATGTCTCTCTGCAGTCAAAAAATTCAAAGATAACACAATAAGATACATAGCCCAGACTCTCTGTGAATTTTTCATCTTTATGTGACTTGTTTTTTCTCTACTACTTTTTCTACACTATTTATTTTATTATCTTTACTCCTTTAATCTATGACTGTACTCTGTCTCTTTAAAGACTTTGTTTTGTTTTTTTTGTAGACCATTTACTTAACTTTTTATACTCTTTCTCTTCTCTTTCTCAAACCTACATACATTTTTAAACATGCTGTGACTCATTTAAAGATTTTTCCATTTGTATTTGTATTTATAGCTTATCTGTAATCATTTTCTGACCAGACGCATTTCTTAAAATGCTAAACAGCTTTGTCTCAGTGGGTATTGGCTCCGCCTCTCTCAGGCTTTAGATATGGTGGAGATAGTTCAACTCTGACTCTAGGACTGCTGTCTGGGAGCCATCCACATCACCTAAACTCTGGGTAACACCATGCAGCATATAAACCTTTCATTCTGAGTAAAAGTTAAATCCTCCATGCAGTGCCTGTGTATGGTGTCAGGAATCCGCCATGCTCTTCTGCTTGTACATGTCTAGTAGACCTGATCTTGCCACCTGACCAGGCAGGAAGAGCTGAGCCATGGGCATGGTCTCAGCTACTTTCCTCCTGACCCTGAGTGGACACACAAACACCTGGGCCTCAAATGCCATTCAAATTATCCATAGCTGGAGTTATGGCATTAAAGTATAGCAAGGCTTTTCTTCTTCTTTTTATTTTTTTTCTACCACTGAATCAGAAAAACCTCTCTTAAAGGAGCCACAGCATGCCTCCAGCAAGGAAAGCCCATTCAGGAAAAAAATGCCACTAAACTTTGTTTTTTTAGTGTCTAGAATTCCTTTCCAAATGCTCTCAGGTTTCACATGGACCTTGCTCTTCATGTTTGTGTGCTAATCTGTTATAAGGTAGGGGCTACTTGTTTGTTTCCTGGCTGTCCAGAAACCAAAATAATTGTATTTTGGTACTGTGTATTAATTAAATAACTGCTTGGCCCATTAGCTCGACTTTCTTATTGGCTAACTCTTACATATTAATTAAACCCATTTTTATTCATCTGTGCATTGCCACATTCAAATGGCCAATCAATACTTAAAGTCGTGTTAAACTTCCTTAGTGATCAGGGAAATGCAAATCAAAACAACTTTGAGATACCATCTTACACCTGTCAGAAAAGCTAAACTCAAAACCACCAATGATAGCCTATGCTGGAGAGGATGTGGAGTGAGGAGAACGTTCATCCATTGCTGGTGGGAATGAAACTTCACCTTTCACAATAGTCACGAATCACATAAAATATCTTGGGGTAACACTAACAAAGGATGTGAAAAACCTATTTGACAAGAACTTTAAGTCTTTTAAAAAAAGAAATTGAAGACGATACCACAAAATAGAAAGATCTCCCATGCCCTTTGATAGGTAAAATTAGCATAGTAAAAATGGCAATTCTACCAAAAGCAAGCTATAGACGCAATGCAATCCCCATCAAAATCCTAACACAATTCTTCACAGACCTTGAAAGAACAATAATCAACTTCATATGGAAAAACAAAACAAAACAAAAACCCAGGATAGCCAAAAACAATCCTGTACAATAAAGGAACGTCTGGAGGCATTACCATCCCTAACATCAAGCTCTATTACAGAGCTACAGGAATGAAAACAGCTTGATATTGGCATAAAAACAGAGATGTTGATCAATGGAATTGTATTGAAGACCCGGATATTAATCTCCACACCTATGAACACCTGATTTTTGACAAAGAAGCAAAAATTTTACAATTGAAAAAAGAAAACATCTTCAACAAATGGTGCTGGCATAACTGTATGTCACCCAGTAAAAAATAGATCCATACCTGTCGCCATGCACAAAACTGAAGTCCAAATGGATTAAATACCTCAATATAACTCTAACCACACTGAATCTGATAGAGAAAAAAAGTGGGAAATAATCTTTAATGCATAGTCACAGGAGACCACTTTCTAAACATAACCCCAGTAACACAGACAATAAGAGCAACAATAAATAAATGGAACCTCCTGAAACTGAGAAGCTTCTGTAGAGCAAAGGACACAGTCAATAAGACAAAAAGGCAGCCTACTGAATGAGAAAAAAAAATCTTCATCAATCCCACATTAGACAAAGGACTGATCTTCAAAATATATAAAGAACTCAAGAAATTAGATGTTAAAATTCTAAATAACCCAATTAAAAAGTAGTGTACTGAACTAAACAGAAAATTATCAACAGAAAAATTTCAAATGACCAAAAGATACTTAAGGACATGTTCAACTTCTGTGGATATCAAGAAAATGCAAATCAAAACAACTCTGAGATACCATTTTACTCCTGTTGGAATGGCTAAGATAAAAAAACACTAATGATAGCTTATGCTGGAGAGGATGAGTAGCAAGGGAAACACTCATCCATTGCTGGTGGGAATGCTAACTTGTGCAGCCGCTTTGGAAATCAGTGTGGTGGTTTCTCAAAAAACTGGGAATCAACCTACCTCAGGATATAGCAATGCCACTCTTGGGAATATACCCAAAAGATGCTCAATCATACTACAAAAGCATTTGTTTCAACTATGTTCATAGCAGCATTATTTGTAATATGTGTAATAGCCAGAGCCTGGAAACAACCTAGATGCCACTCAACTGAAAAATAGATAAAGAAAGTGTGGCTCATCTACACATTAGAACTACTCAGCAGTAAAAAATAATGACATCTTGAATTTTGCATGCAAATGGAAGGAATTAGAAAACACTGTCCTGAGTGAGGTAACCCAGACCCCCTCCAAAAAAAAACCCCGAATATGGTATGTACTTACTCATAAGTAGAAGCTAGGCATAAAGAAAGGGCATCGAGCCTATAGTTCATGATCCTGGAAGAACTCAGTAATAAGGTGAACCCCCCCCAAAACATATATAGACCCTCCTGGAAAATCAAAACAGACAAAAATTTGGGAGCATGGGGTCAGGAGGTAGAAGGAAGGGGAGAAAGTGGGTTTGAGGAGAACTTGAGGGAATGGGATAGTCAAGATGGAGGAAGGACAGATATGAGAGCAAGGAAAGAGATATCTTGATTGAAGGAGCCATTATAGAGTTAGCAAGAAACCTGACTCTAAAATAATGCCCACGAACCCACAGGGATGACTCCAGCTAGACCCTAAGCAATAGAGGAGAGGGTGTCTGAACTGGCCTTACCCTGTAGTCAGACTGATGATTATCACCATAGAACCTTCGTCCAACAACAAATGGGAACAGAGGCAATGACCCACATCGGAGCACTGGATTGAGCTCCCAAAATCCAGTTGAAGAGTTGAAGGAGTGAGAGTATGAGCAAGGAATCCAAGACACTAACTCCAACTGGACTGGGAGTCAACTCTGAAGGGGGTTGACATTTGGGACAGACTGGCACGCCACTGATAGTGACACTGGGATTTGTTTCTACAGTGTGTACTGGTTTCTTGGGATCCTATTCTCTTTGGATGTAAACCTTGCTCAACCTAGATGTAGGTAGGGTGGGCCTTGGACTTTCCACAGGTTGGGGTGCATGGCCCTCTCTTAGGATTCGAAACGGGTGGGGTGGGAGGGTGTGGGGGGAAGTAGGAGGGGAGTGGGAGGAGGGGAGGGAGTGGGAATTTGGATTGGTATTTTTTAAGTAATAAAAAAAGAAAAAAAGAAAATTAAAAGGTTGCCTTGAGTCTCAGACATGATCTTGGATTTTTAAATATTATTTTAAAATTACACACACACACACACATATTTCTTAAACTGCATATAATTTTTACTTCCAATCGAGATGAATGCTTGGATATCTATGATCCTAGGTGACAGGTGTAACCTTAGTCTCAAAAGCAAGGGACTCAGGTAACTTCATTCAGCTGAAAACTGAACTTTCTCATCAGAGAATTACTTCTGTTCCTGATAAGAAGTATGGCTCCTGAACAAAGCCTCAAACAAGAATAATCTCAGTAGGAGGGATGGATTTTTCTCTTAGGTTATTTTATATTTTAAACTATAAAAAGATGGAGCCTGAAAAAAACTGACAAGTAAAATACCATACAATAGAAACCTTACTAAAATAGGTATTTTCTTTAACTTCCTTCTTTTGCAGTTATTTAACCATGAGGTGTGAGATGTTGCCCGTGTTGCTGAGTGTGTGCTTGAATCCTAGTGAACAGCTTCACATTTCACTGTACAACTGAACACAGCCAAACACCTGTAGCTTATAATATCAAGGGTGTTTAAACCTCCATTTATCATTCTGTTTAATTAATTGAAACAGTTGACCAGTTTTTGATTGGCAGTCTCTCAACTCTTAGACTTTAAATGATACAAAATAGCCTCTATTTCTTTAAGCTAAAATATGCCTAGAGGTGGGACAAAATTCAGAATTGTGATGAAGGGGGCTGTAAGCTGATGTCATAGAGGGTTGGCTTGAAGCTGGTGGTAACTTCTAGCAGCCCTGGCAGACCTTATTCCTCCCTCAGTGGAGTCAGTTGGTCTACCTCTGAACTGCTCTGAAAGAGTTGTTTAGATCCTTTTTTCAAATCACGGGTTGAGAAACTTCAGGTTTCTGAAGCATCCTATTTCAGAAATCCTTTTTTTTTTTATTTTGAGGTGTGTGCGCACACTTGTGTGCACACACGTGCATGCGTGCACTTTAAATTAATTGTCCTTAATTCAGTGCTAGATGGCTTGATTTGGTAAGTATGCTTTGTAGTCAGATTGTTTTCTGTTGTCTCTGGGTTTGCTGCTCCCCAGTTTCAGATATTAGACTAAGTCCAGGAGAAGGGGACTTGATGGGAGGGGTAAGTGTTTAGCAGGGAGACAACATAGTCTGCTAGAAGATAGAATGAGGCACAAGAAACTCCTGATTTAGCTGGTTCATGGTGTGAGCAAGCCTGTTTCAGGCTCAGCAAGGAGTTGACTGGACACCTTCAGAATCTTTTTAACCCTGAGATAGCAGAACCTACATTGTTTGTTTGTGGAGTTCTCCCAACCCTCAAAAAAAAAAAAAAACCCAAAACCACTGCTTTCAAAAAAAATTTTTTTTTCCTCAGCAGTTTTGGGCGATAACATTTTAAAGTGTCATTCCTTCAGTCCTGAAAACAGGTCTACCCAATGTACTTGATGGAGGAAGTTCTGATTCAGTAAGCACAGTTTAGAAGGTGTGGGAAGCCCCAGTGCAGGCTTTTCATTCGCTCAGGGTCCTTCACTGCCTCTGAGAAGTAAACACTCTCTACTGTCATCCTCATTTCCTGATATCTGGATTTTACAATCAAGTCTTTTGTTCTTGTTGTTTTGTTTTATTTTTTGTTTTTCAAGACAAGGTTAATCTGTGTAGCTTTGGAGCCTGTCCTGGAACTTGCCCTGTAGACCAGGCTGACCTCAAACTCCCAGAGATCCACCAGCCTCTGCCTCCCAAATGCTGGGATTAAAGTCATGCGCTACTACCACCTACCTCAAATCCTTTCTCAACTACAAATTGTAGTTGAGACATGGGGCAGCGGTGGCCAAGAGGCTGCTGATTTTGGGAGTGAGGCCAACCTCCGCTGCCCAATCTTCTCTTCCAGGTGTGAACGATGTTAGACGTGAATACAAGGATTAATTTTTAGCGGTATGGTGGCTGGTGCAATTATACTGTTCATTATTGCCTACTTTCTTGTCTTGACCGCCATCAAGGATGTCAAGTAAGTCGCTTGAGTAGGAGTGAAGAACACTTCTGCTGTGGGACACTGGGCCCCCTGCTGGAGCGGGGTCATTTCTTACTACAGTGGCCTGTCCTAGAGGAAAGTCAGGGGCCACTGTCAGGTCTGAGAGGATTGGGACAGATGGGTACAGAAACTTGAGGATTTCCCTTCTAGCTTGGTGCTGGGAGCTTACAAGTCTACTGTTCTCAGCTGGACTCTGTGTGTGTGTGTGTGTGGTGTGTGTGTGTGTGTGTGTGTGTGTGTGTGTGTGTGTGTGCGCACGCACACACATGTGCACTTGTGTGCCAGCATTCCTTTCTGTCCCCAGGGAGTGTGCCTTCAGGTGTTTAACAGGACCCTGGCTGAGCCCTCTTTCCCTCTCTGGCACTGTAGACTGGGGAATCCACGAGGATGCCATGGGGAGGAGATGTCTCCTACTCACACAGTATGGCCATGACAATCTCTTCCCACTCACTGGGGAGCTCACATGTTCCCTCATCATTGTCAGTGGCTGTGGGAAAAGTGAAGTGGGTCAAGAGAACAGAGACTCCACGGAGGACAGCTGACAGGGATGGACGTCAGATGAGAGATGTTTGAAGTTTGGGAGAGAAGCCTTAAGTATGAGAGGCAGGCGGTCAGCAGTAACGGTGTCCCTTTCTTGGGACTTAGATGGTGGAGACCCAGAGCTGAGCCCAGCCAACTCTAGCACCTTCTTCATCATTCCCACATCTCACAGGGGCCTGTTAGCAGCCACTGGTGTGCAAATCTCTCTCCCTTGCTTGAAGTGGCAACCTGGGTTCATATGCATAGCAACTGTATGAGAGGAAAACACAGGGAAGGAGTAGAGAGCTTTACCCCAAGGCTGGTGTCACATGTGTGATGGGCTTCCGCCCTGGACTTCCCATACAGCCTTCATGATTGTAGAAGCTCACTGGAAAGGACAATTCTAAGCTCATTTTGTGTGTGTGTTTTCTTAAGATTCGCAAATTATGGAGATGTCGAAAGCTGCATTAATTCATGGAAATTCACTAAAGAGATCATCCGGGCCAAACCCATTACTGCCAAGTCTTGTATTCTCGATACTGTGATGAGTATGCCATCTCCATCTATACAAATTCTGGCATCCTGCAACCTTGTTTTTGTGGCACCAACAAAGGACTCTGACATGACTGATCAGAGTCCAAAATATTCAAAATCAGCATTTCTTTGTTAGTAGAAAATTTAATTTTCAAATTAAGTTCTGTTATGTTTATACCATTATTTACTCTCTAATATGGTTTTATGTTCTTTGTATAAACACACAATAATAAAAATAATCTTATACTTTCAAATTTTGGGTCCTTGAAAGTTATTACTACCACTGTTTAGGATAATAAGGAAATATAGGTTAGCAATTAGTCACCTATTATAATCTAATATAGTCACATTAGGCACATTTTCAAGGTCAAATAAAGATATATTTTATAGACAGGTCATCTCCAAATACTTCACAGATCTATAGAATATGGCACTTAAGATATTTTAATAGCATAGGTTCATTTTCATGACAATGAGACATGTCTGCTACTGGCAACACCAGTCTACTTCAGAGGAGACAATGGCATCTAAGAAACTCCAAATGATGCTTGCCTTCTTTGTGGTAAAAGTAAACCACTGGGAAAGAAAAATGCCCTTGCCTCAATTGCTGGCAGTACGTTGTCCTAATTGGATAAGCAGGACACAACAAAGTGACTGTCAAACATTGTCAAGAGAAGGAGGGAAAGCCCTTTGAAATATCCTGCTTTCGAATATGCTAGGTATGTAGGCCAAAGATGGATGCCCCAATGTTGCAGAGGAACCTTGGGTGACTGTCCAGACAGTCAGCTGTTTTTGTCACTTCTCACATTTTTGGAAATTCGTTTGTTTATACTTCCTGCTTACTCTGCTAATATTATTTCCTTCTTGGTTTTCTGAGGGAATTGAAGACTAGATAGTTATAGCTACAGTTTTCCTCGTTTACCTAATGCAGAAAGCAAGTTATGATAGAAATTAAATTAAGTACAAGACTTTGGACGCACCAAGATAGAATAACTAGGGAATATTTTCTCTGAATTTATCAAATGCAAATAGACTTGTTGATGTATTTATTGCCTGTATAAATTGTATATAATCATTGTAGTTATTGTATACAGTCATCTTCTAGTCCATCTGCTACTTTTATGTTTGATGAAGTATCTTCAAGTGATGGAAGGATGACAGGAGCAAAGAAACTAGTTTTCATTAGTAGCATCTTAGAAGTTGATCCTCAGATCTGAAAGATGAAGAATGACCTCAGCTGTAGGAAAATTGAAATGTAGAACAACACTGAAACTTGGATCTGGTTACAAGAAGAGTCTTTCTCCTATAGCTTATTTTTAAGGGATGCTTTTTTTCTTCCCTCCCTCCCTCCCTCC